CCCATGAATGGACCCCCCCAAAAAAAGTCTTACTGACTTCCTGCCCAGGCTGGCTTTGAACTGTGATTCTGAGATCCCAGTCTCCTGAAGAGCTAAGATACAGTCTAATTGGAGATTGTAGTCTTTCCTGCCTGTTGTTGGCTTCAAACTGCAATCCTCAGATCTCAGCCTCCTGGTAGCTAGAATTATAAAGGTGTTAGGCTACTGGTGCTAGGAAGACTTTATATATAAACACATGTATGAGGCCCTGGATTCAATCCTGTAACACTGTAAAAGAGATAAATATGTACATTCATACATACAAGTATGATATATGTATACACCACATACATGTATAATTTATGAGAATAAGCTTGATATTAAGTGTGGTTGTTCATGCCTATAATCTTAGCATTGGGAGATAGAAGCCGGAAGATCGCATGTTCTAGGCCAGCAAGATCTTGTCTCAGAAAAAATACCATTAACAACAACAAAAATCTTTTTTTGGGGGGGGCTTGAACTCTGGACCTGGGCGCTGTCCCTCAGCTCTCCAGCTCAAGGCGAGCGCTCTACCACTTGAGCTACAGCGCCACTTCCGGTTTTCTAGTGGTTTATTGGAGATAGGAGTCTCACGGTCTCTCTTGCCCGGGCTGGCTTTGAACCGCGATCCTCAGATCTCAGCCTCCTGAATAGCTAGGATTACAGGCGTGAGCCACCAGTGCCCGGCAACAAAAATCTTTTAATATTTTACTTCTCTCTCTCTTTTTTTTTTTTTGGTGAGGGGGGTGGGGCAGGTTTGACACAAAGTCTTAACATGTTGCTTACAGCATTTCTCTGCCTCATATATCCAAATAATTGGTTCTGCAAGTAAAGCCCATCACATTGGACTGCTTAGGAAAAAACTTTTTGTTGTTGTTGTTGTTAGTCAAGGGGTTTGAACTCTCGGTCTGGACACTGTCCCTCAACTCTTCAGTTCAAGGCAAGCACTCTATCACTTGAGTCATAGCATCACTTCCAGTTTTCTGGAATTGGCAATAAGAGAGATTGGAGATAAGAGCCTCATAGACTTTCCTGCCCAGGCTGGCTTTGAACTGTGACCTTCAGATCTCAGCCTTCTGAGTAGCTAGGATTACAAGCGTGAGCCACCAGCACCAGGCTAGGAAAAATTTTTGTTCTGTTTTTGTTTTGTTTGTTTTTGTTTTTTGTCTGTCTGGGGCTTGAACTCTGGCCCTGGGTACTGCCCCTCAGCTCTTCAGCTCAAGGTGAGTGCTCTACCACTTGAGCTATAGAGTCCTTCTGGTTTTCTGGTAGTTTATTTGAGATAGGAGTCTCACAGTCTTTCCTGCCTGGGCTGGCTTTGAACCATGATCCTCAGATCGCAGCCTCCTGAGTAGCTAGGATTACAGGCGTGAGCCGCCAGTGCCCGGCTGTTTTTTTTTTTTTTTTTGCCAGTCCCAGGCTTGAATTCATGGCCTCGGCACTGTCCCTGAGCTTCTTCTGCTCAAGGGCCACAGGGCCACCTCTGGCTTTTTCTGTTTATGTAATACTGAGGAATCAAACTTAGTGCTTCATGAATGTTAAGCAAGCACTCTAGCCACATTCTCAGCCCTAGGAAAATCTTTTAAGTAATAGTTTTACTGGTTTTTTTTTTAAGAAATGCTTGTTACCAGTATCAAATTACAGGTCATCTGTGATTTACTAATTTTCCTTTTTTATGAGGTAGTGTCTCACTATGTAGTCTCATCTGTCCTCATTTCCTTTTCAGTTAGGACTGTGATGTAGGCCATTACTGCTACTTAATATGCCATGCTGTTCCTGCTTTATTATATGTGTTACCTGCTGAGGGATATGATAACAGTGATAATTCAGTCTTTATAACCTTATGAAATATATTCAAATTTTATAGCTGAAGAAACTTGAGGCATAAAGGAGG